TTTACAGCCTGACTTCCATGTGGACACTGAATCACAGGATCTGGTCAGGAGGTAGTTTTAGGGACCACTTCCTTCCCGACAGTAATGAGAAAGAGAACCCACCCCAGTGGCTGGATCACATGCTTAAAAAACGCTATGACATCAGGCCCTAACCTATGGGGATGGAATTGCACTGTTTATTCCCACGTGTAAGTGGCTTTCTAGCACTTGTTCATTGCCACACCTGTCCAGACAGCCACTGGCTAATCAGATGCCACATTGCTGCTTAAGTAAAAGGAATCCCGACATTGGAGTGTGTGTAGACTAGCGTCAAACAACCATCAAATCACTTTGCCCAGAGTCCTAGGATTTGAGTGGACACAGGCTTATGGCAACCACCTGCCCACATTTCCCTGTCAGTGATAAAGCCACACAGAGGCACCCTTGCCAGTTTTCGCCATGTGCTTACCAATTAAAACTTAAATGCATGCCACATGCTGGGCTGTTGCAAACACATTTTCGTTTTGATGTGGCTATTCTGAAGTAAATGTGTGCAAGAACATATGCTTTCCGTCAACCAAATGATGACACTGCTATTGCTGAAACTGTGCTTTTACATTGCTTGTAAGATGGATGGGGTTTTATATCTCCTTGCTAAATACTCTATTATCAGATGAAAAAGAAATCACCATAAAAATTCCTTCACCACCAAGAGAATTTTTCTCAAGAGGCCTGTTTGCTCCTTCCTTGCCTTTACCCAGTTCCATGTTTGCTTTTAAGGAAAGGAACCTGACACGCCCATTCTTAGGCTCATGGGCTCACCATGGCCTTTGGTTTCTTCCTGCTACAACCGGCCAGTATGTCTCTGCTAGAAACTGTGCCCTCATATCTCTAGTTCCTAAAACTGTCACTCTTTGGAACAGCCAGTAGACAGCAGAGGCCCTGAGTAGGAAGCATGTTGCTGACTAGGCTGGAATTCCCAGAACATGTACAATATGTCATCCAGCTAAGGGCCAGTGGTGGGGCCAAGACCTCCATTCTCTCTGCCCAATCCCTACCTAATGGGTGCTTGAGGGCATTCCTGTGGAGGAACATTTCCTCCTGGTGATGCTTACAAGTCATCCAAAGACAGAAGGATAGGCTGACATTTCGTCCCCCCCATACCCTTCTTTTCTCTGTTCTTCCCCTGTCCCTGAGTCATTGTTAGAGGACAGCAGCCTGAGAGCAGACAAGGGAAATGGTTACAGGATCCAGTGAGTCCTGGCAGAATGATGACTTGCTGAAACGCTGAGGGCAACCTGGGCCCCTGTCCAGTGAGGCCTGAGCTTTCCTCTCTCCTAGTAATGCACCTGGCCTGACAGGGATCTGTTCAGCACACACTGTCACAGCTGTTCCTGCTCACCTGAGCAGGCAGATACCCCCAGAGAGAAAGCCCCTCATCTAGCTAGTGCTGGAGGGGTCTGGATTGCTCCCTTAGACTTCCTGCCACGTGCAGATCCAGCCTCATTTTCAATATTGTTTTGAGGAGTGTGGGTCTAAGGCTCAAGTATATTTTCTTGGGGTTCACTGCCAGGCTTCCAGCAATGTGGCTTTGCCCAAACTGAGTGTCAGACCCTCAGGAGTGACTGCCCTCCTCTAAGCTTCACTTGCAGAGTTAGTTCAGAATTGTTTACATTCCTAATCACTTAGCAACCCAGACACAGCTTACAGCTGAGAGTTTGCTCAGCAAAAACATGCAAAACCAGACTTCCCATGTGCCTGCCCCACACATGGTGATGACACATGTGGGAGTGTGAGCATTTTACCTGCTCTAAGCATCAAATCTCCATTCTTGAGAGGTTTGCAGATAATTCTGTGTCCATGAGAGATTCTCCCAAGTAGTTTTCAAAATTGTGGGCTTACTTCACCTTAAAAGCAAACCTAATTCAAGCAAAGGGTAAGGAGCCTCATTGGTGTCACCACTGAGGAACCATGAGGCTGTTACTTGCTTAGCAGCTTGAATCACCGGGGAATGTTTTCTCTTTCCCTGAAGAGGTAAAGGATCATGTATTCATTTTCTCTTGGTACATATCAAATTACCACAAACATAGCCATTCATGTCAGAATCTATTATCTCATTTTCATGGGTCAGAAGTCCAGCATGGCTCTACTGGGTTCTTGGCCCTGGTATCATAAGGTCACCCTCAAGGTTGTGGGTGGCTAGGTTCTTCCCATGGGACCCTGCGAGGAATCCACCTCCACATTCACTGAGGATGTTGGCAGAATTATTTCTTGGGCTTCCAGGACTGTTCCTTGACTGTTCCAGAACTGTGCCTATCCCTTGTTGATAGTCTATTAGGAGTTCTTCTCGGCTTCTAGAGACCACCCACATTTCTCATCAAATGGTCTTTCTGCCTCCTACTTCCCACTCCCGCCTATCCTTTGTTTTCCCTATTCATACAGCAGTTCTTATGTATCTTGAATCATCTCCACAAGGAAGGTGAAATGTGCATCTGGAAAGAGATTTGAGTATACATATAAGAGGGGGAGTGATGGTTTTCATTCACAGGACAAAAGGGCACCAATTCCACCTTCCTGCCATTTTCAGTCCATCAGCAAGCCCCATTGATTCTACCTCCAATATTTATCTCGCATCTTGCAGCTCCTCTCCATCTTCATTGCCACCACCCCTTTCCAGTGATACTGTTTTCTTGATTTCGTCATTTCTTTTCTTTAACATTTCTTACAAGACTGGCTTAGGGGGTAATGAATTCCTTTAGCCTTTCTTTGGGAAATTCTTATCTCCCCTTCAGTTCTGTATGTTAGTTAACCTTGCCAGGTATAGACTTCTTGGTTGGAAGTGTCTTCATTTCTGCTCTTTGAATATACTATCCCATTTTCTTCTGACCTCTAAAATTTTTTGTCTTGTTTGAAAAGTCTGCAGATAGCAGACTTAATGGTTTTCCCTTATACATGACACACTTTTTTTTTGCTTATGTTTTTAAGGTTCTCTTTAACTTTTGTTGTTTTAATTACAGTGTATCTTGGCATGCCTCTCTTGGGTTCCTCTTATTTGGATCTCTTTGGCTTCTTATACCTTGATGTCTGTGTCCTCCCCAGATTGGGGAACTTTTGGCCATTATTTTCACAAACAATTTTTCTAACCCTTCCTCCCTCCTATAATGCAAATACTCTTCCTCTTGATATTGTCCCAGAGTTCACAAGGCATCTTCACTCATTCTAATTTTTTCATTTTGCTTCTCTGTCTGGGTGAGTTATTATAGCTCACTTTCCTACTCCTCTGCTTCATTCAATCTACTGTTTGACCCTTCTATTGCACCTTCAGCTCTGTCTTTGTAGTCTTAGGTCTATAACTTCTTTTTAGATCTTTCAAAAATATTCTGGCTTTCTATTCTTCCAAGTTCATTGAGCATCTGTAAAACCATAATTTTAAATTCTTTGTCAGGTAGTTTGCTTATCTCCATTTCTTCAAGGTCTTTTTCTGGGGCTTTATCTTGCTGTTTTGTTTGGGTCATGTTCCTCTGTCTCCCTATTCCATTTGATCCTCTCTGTTTTTCTCTATGTATTAACCAATATTACTGCCTCACAAGGATTGTTGTTGTGCAGGTGATTTCCCATGATGTTCAGGAGTGCAGTCCTTTCTGAAGACTGAGGTGCTCAAGGTGTGTTCCCTGTGCAGCATCCACACACCTTCTGTGTCAGGGAAGCACAGTGCATTGGGTGGATAGAGGTCTGGCACCTAGTGGCTGAGGACCCACCATGGAACTGAGATATGTTTCTCAAGTGCAGAGCTGTGATGTGCTGCTATGTCACAGGTGTGGGCAGATTGCCTAGTGGGGCTCCTCCACATACTTTAGTGGACTGGAGGAGGAGGTGACAAAATGGTACCCAGAGACAATGACATTAGAAAAGTTGCAAGAAGCTGCCAGTGTGGTACCTGCCAGTGTTTTTGATTTGAGGATTGTCCCTAAACCTTCTTGCCTCAGGTAGATATTGTTCAGATGATAGGTGGAGAATTCTTTCACCTATGATTTGGACATGTTTGCACCAGTGTTACTGTGCTGAGTCCCGGGGCAGGTGAGTCATGTGTGTGCCCTTAAGGTTCATTCCCTGTTGACCCTTGATTCTCTTGGACCTTTCTCACTGGTGCTCCAGAGACTCACTGCTGAGCTGGATCAAGGGTTTGGGGAACTTAATATAAGACATACCTCTCTCCCTCCTCCTCAGAGAAAAGCCCACCACACCTTCAGAACCCTCCCAACTATGAATCCTTGTGCCTGGAACGGGGTTTCTTTCTTGGGAGAGCATCTCTCTCCTGTCAATTTCAGTGCTTTTCTTTTACCCTTTGTTGTGAAAGCTCTGTTTATCTGGCTTTCTTTCTTTTCCATGTAAATTATTTCATATGTGATTTAATATGTGTGTGGGCGGAGGTGACTTCAGGTTCTTCGTACACCACCATCTTTTTTTTTTTTTTTTTTAAGATTCACTTATTTATACAAGAACCGGGGTACAGGCCAGATGCACGGGAGGGTGAGAGGATTCACCAGAGACAGAGTGGGGAACAGAACAGGCAGACTGACGAAACACACCACTGCGGGGAGCAGCCCCCTACACCACCATCTTGACCAAGAACTCTTCCCCTCCATCTTAAAGTCAGGACTGATACACCAAATCCTCCCCCAGCTTCTAATCTCTCTCCATTTCTGCTGCTTCCTTTTTTACAGCTAATCAGAAGACTCTCTGATTTAAAACGCTCACAGGTTGGCTTATGCCTACCTCAGTAATCTCTTTACCTTAAGGTCAACTGACTTGAGACTTAATGTCAGCTGCACAATCCCTTCCCAGCAGGGCCCACACTGATTGAGTAGCCAAGGGACAGGACTCTTGGGGACCATGTGTTGAATTCTTCCTACCTCTGTAGATAATACAGAGAAATCTACCTTGTGTCCATGTTCATACCTAACCTAACATTTTCAAGAAGATCCTCTTGTGACTGTAACCTCCACTGTTGTTCCCATCAGTGAGTGCCGGGGATCCTGTTCCCGAACCGGAGGCAGAACCAGAACCAGAGGCAGAGGTGGGGCAGGTTGCTGATGAGGCCAGCCAGGAAATAGCCCCTGCCCACCTGGGGACAGAGAGCGGAGTGGAGCGGGCCCTGGAGCACGAGCCAGAAGAGCGAGCCTCCCTCAGTGAGAAAGAGAGACAGAACGAGGAGGTGAACGAGAGGGACAACTGCTCCGCCTCCAGCATCTCATCCTCCAGCAGCACGTTAGAGAGGGAGGACAAGGAGGACAAGCTCTCCAGGGACAGGGGAAATGGTAATAAAGTCCCTTTTCTCAATAATCACATTCCAGAGGATCCCACGACAGGGACCTGGTCTGCTTGCTTCTGAGATGAGCTGTCGGGTCAGCTCATTCGCTGGCCTACGTGTGGAGGTGAATGTGGTCACATAGTCGGTCAGCTGGCCTCTGCCCACATCATGGAACGGTGCCCCCCACACCGTCTGGCAGGCTGTTACACCATTACTTCCACAAATGGGAAAAAAGCACCTGGATAATCAGGGCAACAGATGAATTTTCCTGAGGCATCAACCCTAAAAGGGAGATTCCTCATTTCCTTCTAATTGGTAGCAGTAAGTATAGCTTTTATTTGATTTAAATTAAGATGTGTCATGTTGCTATCTACTCCCTTGGAATTGTTCTTTGAGGGAAATGTGTTAAGCCATTATGACTAAGTATTTCAGACCAGAGACAATTTGTCCAAATGAATTGAATGAGTCCTTCCAGAAAGCGGTTCCTTCCTGTGTGTGGAGGTCAATTTGGTGTACTACACGGGAATAGACACAATGCAAACAATGTCCTGCAATGTCCCCGACCACTCTTTTTTTTTGGTACCAAGTGTGTGCTTCTCCTTACAGAATGCCATCTTTTTTGGTATTATACCTGATACTCATTTAGTTCACTTTCATAATAGTGACTGTATGATTAGGGGCCAAAAAGAGTTTTAATTCTTACCAGGGATTGGGGAGGGTGCCACAGAGAATTTTGTGAATGATTCATATAATTTTGTAAATGATTCATATAATCATTTATTGTGATTATCATATATGATCCATGGGGGATGATTTTCCTTCCCATGACTATGTGCTACCAGGGTGGCAGGGAGCAGGAACCCCCTCTCACCAGTGAGGGCTTTCCTGTGAGCCAACCTTCATTAAGCTACAGTGACACACACTCAAGGAACTTACAAGTTGGTCCCAAAGGGCAGCATGAAGTCACCACAAGGACCTGCAGACCAGTGGCATCTACACATGGCTCATTAGTTCACAGGTTGAGAACTTTGTCTCTAAGTTGAGAGTGGATGGATGGATGGATGGATGAATGAATGAAATTAACAACATCCGTGAGAACTGTCAGTCAATGGCTTAGCCAAAAATAGTTGCTATTTCAGTTTTTACCAGTTAGAATATTGCTAATCACTATGATACCATTAAAAAGGAGGACTGAAAGACTATTAATTTACATCTTTGAAATTATTGCATCAAAAATCTTTTGTCCAGTTGGTTGAGGATACATGTGTTAAGAGGTATTGCATATATTGATACTTAATTTCTTTGAAAGTCAGATTAGTCTCCTAAATTCTTTATTAGTCGCATTGAATATAATTATGATCCCATTTCAGGGTGTGTTGGGTAAGTCTTCTTGATCAGTTTGGCCTAAAATTATGTTTTATCTGTTATGAATAACTTTGTTATTTGTCAGAACTATGTGTAGCAGGCCTGAAACATAACAAAATAGAAAAAAAAAGCAAAGAAATAGAACTTTCTTGGATCAGATTGTCCAATAGTCTTCCAAATAAGGACAACTCTCCAAAAATGGAGACTGTTGCTGGTGAAAAACCAGGATGCACTCTCAAAAGTTGGTGGTGTCCAGGTGTGTAGACTTGGGAATTAGGGCTCTGCTGTGGTTTTTCATCTTCATTCTGGTGCTATTAAGAGAGCTGATTGTGTTTATTTGCTGTAGCTTATTGGTTCCTGAAAATCCCACTGCTCGTAGGCACCATAGCAGCTGTGGAGTCAGGGCAGCTCTGTCCTAACTCTTGCTTTTCACAATGTTCTCAATTAAGTCACAGAGACAACTGAAATGATCCCCAATCATATTTCTAATGTTTGTATCTATTAATTGAGAATGACTTTGTAGGATGCAAAAAGGAGTCAACTTATCTGGGTGTGTGGTATTCGTTTTCTTTGCTTTGTGTGTTCTGTTCTATGGCATTAGCATAGGAGGGCTTATTGTAGCTCCGTTGCTCCCTGCTCCTCCCTCTTATAGCTAAAGTACCAACACCCTGAGTATGACAGAGCAGTCAATCATATGAGGGCCCTGAAATGTGGGACGGAGGAGGCAGACAGCCGTGGGCTCTTGAAATACACAAGACAAAAAATGAACAATGAACTACATATATAAAAAAATTATATTAATAAAGAAAAAAACTGGACTGTATAGTTCCAAACAAAGCCCATTGCCCTAGCCAAAGGATAGGGTAAAGGATTACCTAACAGAACAGAAAACCTTTTTGGCTATTAATGCTTGCCCTGCACTAAAAAGTGCTAATGGGAAATATTCTGCCACTACTCACCTCACAGTTATTTCAATGGGACCAAAGGAAAGGCTATCTTCTATATAGCACCACCCCGTGGAAACAGGAGCACAGGGCTCCAGTTCCTCTCCCTGCCTGAATCATGCCTGCTGAGGTCTAGAAATAGCAGGGAACTGCTATAACTGAAGAGCTTCATGTCTGTCTGGGATGGTGGCAGTGGTAAGGGGTGAAATAATGCTAAGGTGGAATAATGTAAGACTTATTACATTGAATGGGCATTGACTTCTTTCTCAGTGAAAGGTGAGAGCATTGAAAGACTGAGCCGAAAGATAGGTAAGAGTGGAAGCAGACAGCAGCTAGGGATGACCTCTGCAGGGAAGAAACCTTGACTTAGGCCAGGGTTGTAGCAGGGAAGGTGGTGAGAAAAGTGGTTGGATTCTGAATGTAACATGAACATTTAGCTAACAGGATTCCCTGCTATGTTGGGTTGGGTGGGTGTAGAGTGGAGGTTGAGAATCACCAGGATGACTTCAGGATTTTGGAACTAGCAGCAAGATGAATGAATTTACCGTATCAGAGACAGGACACCAGGGCAGGAGAAGCAAGTCTGGTGAGGAGAATTGGTATGAGAACAGAAGGTGATATTAAAAGCCCTGAAACTTGATGAGATGATGACTAAGAAAGTGAGTGTAGATGAAAAGTGAGTATAGATGTTTTCAACCTTTAAGACATTTAAAGGTTAAACATAAGGAGGAACCAGAATAGGTGACTGAAAAGGAGGAGCCAGAAGGAAGAAATCAAACCAGTGAGTATCGTATCCTGGAAGTCAAATGAAGGATGTCTGTTGAAGGGTCAGTTGAGATTAGTGCCACATGAAGTTATTGGTCATCTGGAAAAGTGCATCGCTGAAAAGAGGGTGGGGACAAAAACTTCATTAGACTGGGTACAGCAAGAAGAAGGAGAGGGATTGGAGACTGTGAGCAAACAACTTTTCGCAGTAGCTTTACACGCAAGGAAAGAAGAAGATTTAGATTTTAGCTGGAGAGGGAGGGTAAGCAGGATCAAGAGGGATTTTTCTTTTTAAAGGTGGGTGAAATTCTATAATGTTTATGGTTCAGTAGGGAGGGTGTAGTGAGGAGCATGGCAGATGCAGGACAGAAAATTGCTAGAGGGTTTTCAATGCTGGACTGGTTTACCTTGCTAAGTTTGTCAACTGTGATTTATAGGAGTCACAGGGGGACTGTCATGGTTGGGGTGCAGATGCAGCTGGATGGATATAGAATAGTGGTTCTGGAAGAACTGAAAGAACTGATTTCATCCGTTGAGATGGCAAAAAATAAGATCATCCTTACATGAAGATGAGATGGGTGGGGAAGGTTAGAGGACAGAAGAGTATAAAAGTTAGCTGGGAGGTCATGGATGAAACTGACAGGTGACACTGATGGTCTCCTGAAGACAAGTGACTGTGAAGTTAAAGTGGCATGGTTGGTGTATTTATCCAGGCCCTTTATACAGATGTGAAGTAGAGGAGGAACAGAGATGACTCTGCAGTCTTTCCAACACTTGGATGGATGAAGGAGCATCTTCTTTACCTCCTTGTATCTAGTTAAGACAAAAGCCCATCCATTACCTGCAGCTGAGTGGCTCTGGGCCAGCAGTCATGGATGGGTAGGAAAGGTGAGGGAAATTTCTCCCCTGAGCCTAGGCAGCAGTCACAAGCATTTTCTCGCAAGTGAGAGTCTTGAGTCCTGGGGTCTGACACTTGTACTTTGAGGTAGCATTTCTTCCTGATCAAAAGCATCTTGTCAACTGTGACCAGATCTCTTCGATTTGTTTCCCCATCTTTTCTAATGTCACTCTGCATGCAAAATGCAGGCAGTTACTACCTGGGCTTCTCCTGGTAGGCAGGCCCCAGCCACTTTCTCATTTTTCCCTCTGTATATTTTCAGCTTTGTGGTCCACGGGTGTTCAGGATGCCGGTGTAAATGAGCAGTGTGGCGACATCCTCACCAACAAACGGTTCATGCTGGACATGCTGTATGCCCATAACAGAAAGCCCACGGAGGAGGAAGAGGAGGAGGAAGAGGAGGCAAGCCCAGCCAGCAGGACTGAGCAGGGGGCGGAGGCAGTAGCTAGCCTGGCCAGCAGAATATCCACCCTGCAGGCCAACTCTCTGGCCCAGGATGAGAGCATCAGGAGGGTGGACGTTGACTGTCTGGACAATCGGGGCAGCGTGAAAGCCTTTGCTGAAAAATTCAACAGCGGGGATGTTGGAAGAGGGTCTGTCTCCTCTGACACCGAGCCCAGTGAGAAGGTCTCTGAGAAAGCATCCACACAGCAGAAGACTGAATCGGATTATATCTGGGACCAGCTCATGGCCAACCCTAGGGAGCTCAGAATCCAAGACATGGATTTCACTGACCTGGGGGAAGAGGATGACATTGATGTCCTGGACGTGGACCCAGGTCACAGGGAGGCCTCCGGGCCCCCGCCGCCACCCCCACCCATCTTTCTGGGCCTGCCACCCCCGCCCCCTCCACCCCTGTTGGACAGCGTGCCTCCCCCTCCTGTCCCTGGTAATTTATTGGCTCCTCCTCCGGTATTCAATGCTCCTCAGGGCTTAGGGTGGCCCCAGGTACCCAGGGGTCAGCCAGCATTTACAAAGAAAAAGAAGACCATCCGTCTGTTCTGGAATGAAGTGCGGCCGTTCGAGTGGCCCTGTAAAAACAATCGCCGCTGCAGAGAATTCCTGTGGTCGAAACTGGAACCTATCAAGGTGGACACATCCAGGCTGGAGCATCTGTTTGAGTCTAAGTCTAAGGAACTGTCCGTCTCAAAGGTACTGCTAGCATCCAGCATGCTTCTTGATTTGCAGTGTTGCTTTCCACTGCTGAGTAGCACTGGAGAGCTTTGTGCTATATAAAATACCCTTCCTTTTAATAAGGTATATGTTTTGATGAAATTCCGTTAGCATAAAAAGCTGGTCTTATATTAATATAATAATCTTTGTGCTGCATGCTAGGTATAAGCTAAATGATGGGGAATGCTGAATAGCTAACATGGACACCAGCTTATTAGAAAGATTAGGTAGAGTAGCTTTCAAAGAACCAAATAACCTAGAGGGAAAGACAAAAAGAGTAACCAAAGAACGTTCAGATAGAGGAAAGTTTCCAGAGGAAAGTAGACTTGCTAATTTATCAACCCCCTGGACTTTATTGGGGGATGTGTTTATTTACTCTTATCTTCATCGATGATAGTTGATAGTAGCTTGAACCTCAGCTATAATCACACAATGTGTTTGCAAAAGCAACAATCCAAGTGACACTTTTTTGGATAATCCCTTGGATCAATCATCATGCTGCAATTATTTAGATGTTTCCAGATGTTATGTCTTCTCTTATAAATGGAAAACACTGTTCATGAAGTTACTGAGCATCAAAGGTGAAGTCATGGTTAATGAACACTGATAAGTACAAGATAGTGAGTCAGATTTTATTCTAATTATTCACTGCATTAATTGACTCTCCTTTACATATCTTAAAGAACTGCTTAAAAAACACCTTGTGATTTTGGCTCTATTATAGTTTTTAATCAGAGTTAAGACTATTCTCCTTACTCAGAAAAATCAAAGGTATATGAGGAAGCATTTGTAAAATGTAATTTAGGGTAAGTTAGGAGAGTGTATGTAGGCCTTAATATCATGAATTAATTTTAGCCCATAAGTTACTTCATTTGTCATCACTCTGGCTGAGTTGAACTCCTCCCCTTCTGCCACTTGGCAACGAATCTGAACCCAAAAGTACGTGCAGCATCCTCAAGACAAGTGAGCCCTTCAGACAAGGAGTCAAGTGACAGAGATGGTGCCTGTCGCTGCTGTGTGATGCTGACAGGCCAGGTTAAGGAGTTGTAATCAGTTGATTTTCTTATCAGATTCCTGCCAGTGATCAGAAAGCACTTGCTGTTCTTCCCAAGCTGCTGGTTACCCTGTGTTGATTTCTGCCCAGGTTCAGGATATGACTCTATACCATTTCCAACCTCAAGAATCCCCCAAGTCAGAATTAAAGCTTTCCCTTCTTTATAACTCCAAATGACTAGGAGAGTGGGTCCTTTCCTTTAGTTGAAAATTGACTGAACTCCTTTGTCCTTTCCAGAAAATGACCCCTAGGAAAGTGATGTTTTATTCCCCTCTTGGTGTCTGTCTGTCCTGACTTCCTCAGCTCTGATCCACCCATATGGCCCCTACAATTATTAAAGTCACGTCTGGCATTTAGGAGAAGACTGGCCCAGCGGGGTTAAAACAGCAATCTCTGTAGTCCCAAGTTACCCAGGACCAGATTTCGCTACCACCACCCTCCGATCCATTGATTTGACTAGTTTCCTACAGCCTTCTCCCCAAAGTGGACTCTTGTGACCAGCTTCACCCTCTGCGCTTCTGTGGTTACTCATTCTGGAGGTTGTCAGGGAAAGTCTGGCCCTTGATTCAGGGTAGGGAGGAATGAAAGGGGGTAACACTTTGGTGGTCAAGGCTCTTTGACTTCATTCTACAAAGGAAAGGACAATATAACAAGTTGCCTTGTGTAGACTCAAGATAGATGGCTCAACTCTCCTCTCAGTCCCACTTCAGAGGGTGATAAGAGTTTGGTTGAGATGTTCTCTTAATAGCCAAGTTTCTTCCTTGATTAAAATAGTTCATTGCCGAAGGACAAATGTCATCCTAGTTGGTACTAAGTCGGAGCATAAGAGGAAAGGATTATAGTGAAAAATTTACTAAACTCACTCCAAATTATTCTACCATAAGACTCAGGAGCTTATATTGTTTTGTGGTGAGGGGCTAGATAGGAAATGTGAACAGTGGCTAATTCGCAAATGTTAAAAAAAGTTGAGAATGCTAATTAGGATTAGAACACATCGTATTGGAAAGTTGACTCTTGTGAAAATGGTACCGGTACAGGTATCACCGATTTTACTTCTGCTTCTAACCCTTGAATATGATTTTCATAAAATACAGCTGTAAACAGCTACTTCCACATCCAGTCCCCTGAGTTTTTCATTAGATACAAGAAAGCACAGCAAAGCTAAAATGAAATTAACTCCACAAGACAGCACAGAGCAAAGGAAAATGGTTTTTGTTTCCATAAAACAAACAAAAACTTTACCCAGACCAGAGTTATAGGGCAGAATCATGGCCAACCAAGTCATCCCCCAAATCAAATTTCAGATGATAAGACAGAATAATGTGCTTGTTGGTTTCCTTTCCGAATAATTTCTGCAACTAGATCTACTTTTCTCACTCAGCAGAAAAATACATACATATCTTCAGTAAGATGACTTTAAATATGGCTTGTGATGAAAACAGAAACCCTGTGTTGAATTTCTTCATGTAGTATTTCTACTGCTGGTCTGAAATGTGGTGAATCCCATGGGAGATTGTTTTAGTGGTCCCAAAGCAAGTTGTCCAGGAAGGATCCTTGGGGGTATAGAAATGTGCCCTCCACAGATGTGTTGTCACCTTGAGGAGCCCCAAAAAACTGGCCCCAACCCACTTGCCTAATCAAAGGTGTTAAGTCTCTCTTGCTCCCAAAGGGCAGCTTCTACCACCCAAGTTACAGTCAAACTGGGAGGTGTGGGGAGTGGGAGACCAGCAAAAAGAAAGGGACCCTAACTTCCTTTGGGTGCTGTCTGACTCCCTTGGGTTCATTATGTTTAACATGAGGGGAGGACTCCAGAGTGGATTTGTAGAAATTTGGTCAACTTTATGCTGATATTTCAAAGCAGACCAGAAACTATTAGCATTTTTTTTATCTGGAATGTGTTTTTTCATTTTTAATTTTTTGATACTTAATTTCTTACATTGTTGTTAATTTTTGGATAGTATTTAGTTTCTCCCCTCGAGTGTAGTCTCTGTAATTCTTTTATCACCATAGCACCCATGATGGATGATTTATTTGATCTGGGGGTGAACCCCAATGTGAGTATTTTTAAAAATTCCCCAGGGTCACAACCCAGATTGTGAGCCACTGAGTTAAAGTGAAAATTGAGGCGCCAGGGGACCACTTTTCCCTGCTACCACTCTCCACTCTCTATCACTCTCCTCCCCCTTGGTTTTATTTCCTGAGAAAAGACTCTACTCTGTATTCATTCAATTTCCCTATTCTGTATTCATTCAAGTTCAGGACTTAAGAGCTATGTGATTTCCTTTGCCATCACTCAGGAAGCCTGAGTTCTACCTGGAAATTCCAAACCCAACTTTGGAACGTCAGAGGGGTGACCCTACATCCTAGTGTATCCAGGATGGTCCTGGTATGTGCCGGGAGTCCCACTGTAATAACTAGAATATGTTCCCTTTCCCTCTCAGAAGTCTCCTGGTTAGGGTCATAGATAAAATAGATTTATCCTGAAACTGAAACTGTGTCCAGTGGGCCTCTGCTACTGAAGATCAAAACAACAAATAGGGGAAAGGAATACTTTTTTCCTAAACTTAACAATAAGGCAAGCCTATTCTGGTAAGTTCCTCAGTAACTTTATTCCTAACTGTTTTCCAGCCTTTATTTTAGACTTACATGGTTTTTGTTGTTGTTTGCCTAATACTTTCCCATATATATATTGTTGTCTTGTTATAGGACTGAGAAAAATGCCATAGTTGTCACAATCTTTATGACATTATATTGTGGCATCATTGTTACTTTCTCAATGCATAGCTTTGAAAGTCTGTGGCATTAGTATCCTGGCAGTTAGCAGGGAGTGATTTACCATTTCTAGAACTCGTGGCTTACCCAGCCAGACACAAGGTCTGTGGCAGGATGCTGAGAGTCTTGAGCAGTAGCTCGCCTTTCATGGAAGTGCTCTCCTCTTAGTGGTATTCTCCCAGACTCACAGAGTTCTCATAATAAATCACGTCCTTAGCCCAGTTTCTATTTTCAGTCCCAGCACCCTCTGGGGTGACAACAACTGTTTTAAAGGTTACATCCTTTATTTCTATAAAATTATTCTTCAAAACCTCAAAGGGTGATCCTTTGTGGCAGCATTTCAGGAAACCGTGGAAAACAAGCCACAATCACCTGACCAGACCTCGTACCTCCTCAGTTATGATCAGACTCCCTCACACATGCATGCACTTTTTTTCCCTACTTTTCCCTCACATGGACTTCTTTGCCTCCACAGCAGTCCTTCTTGGGACTTGACCTTCTGGTCATGGAGTACCATAGACAGAAGCCCCCATACCTTTGTGGGGAGGTAGAACAGGGATTCCAAGAACCACACCTGTGTTTCATGGTGTTCGCTGCAGCAGAACATGTGGCCATGTCTTCCAGAGGTGCCTACACTCAGAGCCTCCCAAACCCTGAGTGTGGAAGGGATGTTTCTTAGTAACTGACAACTTAAACCCCTAGAACTGGGATGAACTTGGCATTTGTTGGGCACATCAAGCTGATTTTAACATGGACAAAAGCTTCCTGCATTGTTTACAGTTGTGGGGATGTTATTCTATACTATTTATAAAAATGGCAGGACCAGTCTGCTGCATCTTGGAACAGAGAGGGGAGTTAACTAGGTTTTTGTATGCTAAGAATTATTCTCCTTTATTTCTTTTCCTATTTGCATTTCTGTTCTTGAAAGAAAATTTTCTACCCACCCAACAATCCCATCTCAAAAGCCTTTACACCTTTTGCAAGTCCAAACCAGTGACCTTAGTTGCATCAGAGATCTTTTAAACATGGTAATTTGAGCCCAGACCAAGCTGCTCAGGACTTCTAAGGATGAGACCCAGAAATCACTGTTGGGAATTCTCTTGTACACTCCAGTTGTAAAGCACTGATCTAAATATGACTTTTGGGTTTTGAT